AGTATAGCTATTATTAGGAAATGTAAATTTCTTAGTATAGTTTAATCTCAATAAAAAGTGGCAGGACAGCCGAATTAAAAAAAAAAATATAATATAACAAATCATATAAAAATAATCTATATTTACTTTATCATTAATCAACTTAATTATATAAAAAATATTTGTATTAAATATAATATTATATATACAAGAGTATTGTTAATCTTAACAAGCTGTAAAATTTATAGTTCTGTATCTAACTAATTAAAATTGCAAAATTAGTGTAATTTACAAATTTTCTTTATATAACAAAACCAAGTTTTTTTTATAAAAAAATTAAAAAAACTTATATATAATACAAATCTAGCTTATAAAACCACCTTTGATATTATAAGTAAAAAAATCTCTTGCTAAATTTTATTATAAAGTTTGTTATTTATTAAAACTTTAACCCAATTCTAACTTAAATAAAAAACTTTTTTAAAATAAAAGTGTGAATTTTACTGTTTGTTAATCATAGTAAGGATGTTCTATAGAATAGATGAGCAAACTTTGCAAACTCTGTAACTCCACTATTAAAAAATTAATGATTACTAATTATTAGTGAAGCTTATTTTTTATATTGTCTATCTATTTTATAGAATATCCTATAGTAATTTTCATATATGCAATATATAAATATAATATATCAGTTATCTGATATATTACAATATAAATTTTTGTATATACAATATAAAATTATGGGTGTTATTTTATAGTGATGGGTCACTATGGCGATCCTATATGAATAGCCAATCAAAATTGAGCATGTGACTATAATATGTTGCTTATTATCGCTCAATAAATATTTCCTATAAACTTTCTAACTTTATAATAAAAAAACACAAAAGAAAATTTTTTAACTCTAAATATGATTGGCTGCTATATATAGGGTCGCCATGGCGATAAGTATCTATAATTTACCTAAAATTATATTAAAAACATAAAAAATTATATATAAACTTTGTTGCTATGATGTTTCTTCTCTTATATATTAACTTTAAATTAAATTTTACAAATAAATATATTAAGAAAAGATAAATAAAATACTTTTTAAATCAAATTAAAATTTTGCAATTTTAATATAATTTGAAAATATAAATTTGTCAAAGAAAAAATTTAACAGTTTTAAAGTAATAAATATATATAAATTTATATTTTGAACAACTTTCAGTTAGAGGTAAAAAAGATTATCTTAGTAAAAAAAAAGTTTGCTATATACTAATATCAAAATTTTTAGTTTTCTATATAAAAGTTTTTTTTATTTAGATAACATGTTCTGTTCTCTTAAGCAAATTTATTCAGCACATAATTCTATATATTTTGTATTTCACTAATTTTGTTTTTTTAAACTTTTTATTAAGTGAAAGATTGGATTAAAGATTATATAAAAATTTTTTTTTAAAAAATTTTTAAAAAAAAAATTCATATAACCTTTAATCCAATCCTTCACTTAGTAAAAAGTTTAAAAAAAAACAAAATTAGCAAAACACAATGTATGTAGAATTATGTGCCAAACAAATTTGCTTAAAAGATCAAAACAGGTTGTTTAAGTAGAAAAGTTTTATATAGAAAACTAAAATTTTGACATTAGTACATAGCAAACTTTTTTTATTAAGATAACCTTTTTTACTCCTTAATTAAAAGTAGTTCAGAGTATAATTTTACATATATTTATTACTTTAAAACTGTTAAATTTTTTTTTAACAAATTTATATTTTCAAATTATATTAAAATTGCAAAATTTTAATTCGATTTAGAAAGCATTTTATTTATTTTTTTTATTTATTTATTTTTATTTTTTTTTTTACTAGCCTCCTTGAGGCTAAGGTTTTTTATTCAAGTATTATTGAGTTTGGGAACTTGCGGCTAATGCCTCATGGAACCTCGTACATTAGAGAATACATTCTAGCCATACCTGCACCTTTTGAGCGCCTAATTAAGTAGTTTGCCTATTACTAGACTCTACACTAGTTGCCATATCTGTAACCCAACTATGAGATTACTTATTTAAACCCTCTGTAATGCAACTCTACCTGTATCACTAGTACATCCCCGTTACATCAGTCAGTCAAGAAGTCCCAGATGCTTAACCTATTCTCTATAGGACTACTTTATTCTGGAGGCATCATCACTAGAGCCACCTGTTACCCATATCTAACATATAAATCTAGTTTCTTTTGAATAGGAACTACTGGATAGATTCTATACCTTTACGGGCAGATTGCACTACCAATCTCTTTTACAAACATATTAGCCGAATAGGTTTTAAGCCTTTATGGGCAGGCTACATTGCCTAACTAACTGGCCTTTGTAGAGTTTGCCCAAACCCTAACACCCACTATACAGACCAACTCTGTACTCCCATTATCCAAACTACTAATCCAGATTGCTTGGAAGGACTGTGACCTGTCTTTAGTCCCACAGTTGGGTCCTTTTTTCTCTGATTACTCATCCAGCAGCCTCATTAGTAGAGTGCTTTGCCAAGCACTTCAGTTCTATTTAGTTCTCGTTACTTCCAAAGATAATCCTTTATATAGTACTATCAAAGATCTGTGCTACCTCTCTACTCGGGTTTTGCCAAGCAGGCTCCTGTATCCTGTCAATCCGCTAGATTTATTCAGTAGCTTCAACCGAGTCTCATGTAACTTGTACATTACACTACATGTTCCACTACCTTCCAGTACAAGCTGGTACGACCCTGTTACAGATTCTATAACCCAATAGGATACAGTCTTTCCATAATGTATTTTCTATAAATTTGAATTTTTATTGCCAGTGGGATTTGAACTCTGGTCCTGCTGCTTGAGGTGTGACAACTTGCCAACTTCACTAAGTTGCCACACCTTTTTATTTTTTCTTAATATATTTATTTGTAAAATTTAATTTAAAGTTAATATATAAAAGAAAAACATTATTGCAACAAAGTTTATATGTAATTTTATATGTTTTTACTATTATTTTATATATACAAAAATTTATACATGTGATTGATATAAATTATCTTAGTTTATAATATCTAATAATTAAAAATTTTATTATACTGTATTACAAATCTAATAAATTATTATTAATATAATATATATTGTAATTTGTCTATATATATTTTTTTTGTTAAAATTTAGCTAATTAAATTTTGTTATATTACTTTAATATACAATATATATATAATATATACAGTATATATTCTATAAACCTATTTAAAGTTTATTTATTTTTTTTTTTTAAATCTTAAGGTGAGGTAAGTTTATTTTTAATATACTATATATTTGAAAGTTTAATATAACCTTTTAAAAAACTTTGCATACCTTATAGCTTTAGCTTTGCAACTTCTTCAGTACTAAAATCAATTCTATTTTTATTTATATAAAAATAAACAAAAATAATTAAATTAACATTAAAAAATAAAATCTTTCAATTTAATTACTATGTTATATGTATATTATCTATAAACAAACTTAATAAAAATAATATATACCTTAATCCAACAATTTTTTTAGCTTCAGCAACAGTTAGCCTCCAAGTAATAGGGCTTGTAGCTTTTGTAGCACTTCCCCAGTAGTCATAAATTTCTGATAACTATTAATTATTCCAATTGTAATATATTGACAGATGTAATTAACACTTATAAGTTGATAGGTATAAACTTCAAAGCATGAAATCTCTTGACAAATTAATTTGTGCTTTAAACCTGTAAAACTATTCAAGTAAATAATAGTAATATTGATCTCACTAATATAACTTACACTTTCCAAATTCAATAATGTTGAAATTTGGTTTAATCTTGTCATTTTATCTCTAAATACCCATCGCATTTTTGTGGAAAAATAGTTGTTTACAGCCCTTAAATCTTTGTCAAATCTGAGAGCACCATACTTTTTTAAAAAAATAAATAATATAATAGTAATTGATAAATTTTGAAGACTTTTAACTATGATGTATAAAAGAAAAACGATATGTGAATTATAAAGATTCACCTGGTTGAACTTGGTGCCGAAAACAGTTTTTTCTAGCATATTAGTAACTGATTCTAAGATATGCATCATTAATTGATTATAATTGTTATCTGAGAATGTTGACTATTTAAAATCAAATCATTTTTTCATATCAATTTTATGCAAAATACTAAATTTAAATAATAAATCAACTATTCATAGAAAACTGAATTAAAATACCTGATAAATTTGAATTAATGCATCAAATCCAGATACAAAGCGTTTTGCAAAACTATCGTTCGATTCTTGTTCATGATATTCATCTTCGCTAAGAACATATTTAATATCTTTATAAGCATCTTGCAAAATTGGGCGAATTCTTGGTTTTACCATTTGTGTAAACAGTTGCTCAAGTCCATTCTATTCATTATATAATTACAAATATGTGTAAAAGTATTTGTAAATTCCTTATAAGATTTTATACAATGTTCACGAGATTAACAGCTCAAATTTAATAAAAGAACCTGTAAAATCTGCTGAAACTTGTTTGTCGTAGCCTCATTAAGCCGTATAAAGCATTTTTGTACCTTGTCTTTGCTATCGTCACTGAATGAAGGTAACGTCATTAACTCCGTCGTGAGACGTTGCATATAATCACAGCTTACATCCAAATTATTTAACAGTATCTGTTAATTCAATCGATATTATATAACATAAATTAATATTTAGAAAAAATTTTACGAAAAAAAGGTAATGAAATAGTCAACCATATAACCGGTTTTAGCATCTTTTGGTTCAGGAGTGGCAAAAGCCGTTACAAGCCTTTTCTGAAACAATGTAATATAATCAAATTCTAAACTTTGATTTACAAGATTAACCATAGAAGTCAAACACTCCAAATCTGAGGTAGACAGCGCTCGAGTAAGACATTCCTTGAGAATATAAAAAACATCGCCAACACAACTTGAAGTTATGCTACCTTCATCATAATCGTCAATTATCATGGCCTGTTTTTACAAATGAATGAAATAAAAGATTCAGTAAGACTATTCAAAATAAATTTATATATCGATATATATGAGGTTAGTATAATACTTTTTCAATTGCTTTTCTAAAAAAATATTCCTCCATGACAAGAAAATCGGCCATCAACGATTTAACTTGTTTATATAATTCACTATTCCTCGTTATACTCGTTGGATCATAATCATTCCCGTCTTTTTCAATTAATGATACATCGGCTTCTCTACTTGCTTTCGTAGCTTCAACTTCTGACTACACATTGTATATAATAAACATATTCAAATTAATGCCAATATATTTACCGTCAAACTAATTATAATTTTGGACATACATTTGCTCTTGCTTCAATAAATCGATAATACAAGTGAGTTCTTGCACTAATCATTGCCAACTCAGTCAATACAACATCAAGTTCCCTAGGATCGGGTACATTATCAATTTCTCGGGGTTGTCCAGAACGTTGAGGGCCAATTGGTTTTTTCGACGTGTTATATATTTTTATATCAGCAACCTAAAAATATAAAAACTTTTACATATAAGAAAACAAAAAAAAAATATAATTTAGAAGTGAAATCAACAATTTTATAATGCAACAAAATATATATTAAGTTACAATATCTAACCTTTCGATGGATTTGTCTTTCATCACGAAAAGTATCTAAAATAATTCGACACTGCTTATCACATTCTTCTTGAAGTCTCTCGATAACTCTGATCATCTTTCCTGGACCATAATGAGCTTCAACCACCGGCTGATGTTGATCAATTATAGTGGCAATATTTTCAAATAATTTAAGAATTGCATATCCATAAAAATTCGGATCAACGGCTGTCGGAAATAAAACAAAAATAGCATAAATAATAAATAAATAATAAAATGAAAAGAAATTTAAGCAAGACAAATAATAATCACATGTAGATCTACAAATTGATCTACAAAGCTAGCCAATCAGACGAATTTCTGCCTATGACACCTGGGGTAGTTCTTTAATTAATTTTTAACCTCGACATACATGCCGTGTAACCACGTGACTAAAGATCGATCATAGGTTTAGCTTGTATTACATGAATAAAGAGACAAAGCTATATACTGTATCTGTTACCTAAATTTAATTTTTAGCTTGAATCGTTACAATTCTACAATGTCATTATCAGCATCTTTATCACAAAATCCATCCGACTTATCGTTATCTTATTTAAAATCATTAAAAAATGTGGAAGATATCCAAGAATGCTTGAGAATTTTGGATTTAGAAGAAAATCAGGTTGATGCTAATTTAGATGAATTATTGGAAAAAGGGTCACAGCTCGAAACTGAATTGGATAAATTGAAAATTCTCGGGTAAGAATGATAAATATCCTTAATGATCTTTCCTGTCAT